TGCCAGTGCTGCCAACATTTTGAAATTCTATTCGCACAGTACTTCATTTGTCAAACAAATTCCTTGGTTATAACGGGTTAGTTTCGTATCGTGCAGGGCAATGTATTTGATCCGTGTCATTGACTGTTGACTGCCACATTACTAGAATCTGGGACTTTTATAGGTATAATTATATGATAAAAGTGTATGTGTTTATAATGCAGAGCTAAAATTTACTTGGTTCGATTTAGTGTGTTGTTCGTCTCTTTGACAGTTCTGTAAACTGACAAGTAAGAGCATAAGTGTGGTGATTTCTTTGAATCGTCTAAGTGTACACATTCCAGTTGCTACTGATATTGCAGCCACAAAACACAAATTTAGCCATTCTGCTTCTGAAGTTTAGGTTAGATTCTCTGCTTAGACTAGACTGAGATTTCTCTCAGTCTCTCCAACAAGTGTTAGGTTAAGTATTTGAAACAGGCTATCATTACATTTTTTTCTGATTCATCATTCATAATTAACCTCCAATGCAGCATGTCACGAAATAAACATTTGGACTTTGCTACATTTCAACAAATTTTCTTTTGAACGTAACCCATGAAGATGCATGCATGCTTCCTGTCTATTTGCCTAATAACTATAAAATCATTTTGTTTGAATTTAAGGAATGCAGTTCTGAGGAACATGTTAATGGAAATCACAACAAACAATTTCCAACTGTTTTTTAGCCTGTAATAAGTACTAATACTAACTGAGCAATTATTAGCTTCATAAGAGGTACTTTGCTCAAATGTGTTGGTTAATTTTAGCTATATTTGTTACATACTGCATTGTTTTACTTTGTAGATAGTCTGAAAGATGTCGCAGATTCTGTCTGCAGTTCGTCGCACAACGCGAGGGCGTTTAACAGCTGATTATGAGGATCTTGACGGGCAGGTTACAGAATCTCTGCCCAGTGGAGGTACCATCCCAAGACAACTAGAAGATAATTATGATAATCATATGGCCGAAGCTGATGAGATAGAAATGACATCTGTCTCTGTAATACCTGATGGTGTGTATAATTCAGTATGAGGATTTGTCATAATAATGTTACTGAAAGTAATATGAATATATAAACAATCTTTTTACATTATCTTCCGTGTCGATATATCTACCACTCTGAAATTAATGTACAGCGATGCATTTTCTTCCAGACACTTTCACTGTGACGCAGGCAGTGAACGCGTTTGGTTTTGGGAAGTTTCAAGTGAAACTGTCTCTCTTTACTGGGCTGTGCTGGATGGCAGACAGCATGGAAATGACGATACTCAGCATCCTTTCACCCGCTCTTCATTGCGACTGGCACATCACACGATACCAGCAGGCTCTTACCACCACAGTAAGTGTTTGGCTGATTTTCTTAAGTGTAGCGTCCAAAAGTGAATCCAGTGTTGTAGGGTTTCTTCTGTATTTTGTGAGAAAAAGTTTTGTGTTGCCATTTCTAAGAAGAAATTATTTTTGTTAATTTATATACTTTTATTTGTTCAGGTAACCACTTTCTGTGGTAGGGCTTCTCGAAGGAAAACATGTTCTAAAGATAAATGACTAATGAATTCAAATTGTAATTAGTAATTATCTGCAACATTTTCCTAGTTAATCTAGAAAGGGTTACAGCGACCATAAAGAAATAAATTTCAGTTAGATTAATTTTTGTCTGTGCTCTTGACATCTTAGTTGAATTTTCTTAAATTTTCAGTGTTTTAAGACCAAAATTATGAAACTGTTTTTTTTTATGGTTTTCTTTCTTGTTCAGATTGTGTTCCTAGGAATGATGCTTAGTTCCACATTCTGGGGGAACCTGAGTGATCGATATGGAAGAAAACAGGTTGGTAGAAGCACTGGACTAAGCTTCGTTAAAGTAACGCAAACTCCGCACCTCGATTTCCGGTTTATTGCGTCTACTGAGAAATTTACGCTTCAAAATAATATCTCACTCAGACTGAATGGGTGTTTTGTTCCACTTATATGAGCGAAACTGTTCTTCTAAATCATGAAAATACTAAAATCGAGACTCGGGTCCGTTCTTAACAAATAAGCGTTAATCGGTTGCCTTCTTGCAGTAAAATGGCTGATATAACATTCAGCTCTGTTATGGAACTTTTGCAATGTTCGTTGCTTTTATCGAGTAATACCGTAATTTAAATGTGGCATTATATTTTATTTAACTATCAAATATGTTTGTATTTTATTATATATAATATAATTTTGAAGTCATTTGCTTCCAGCTGCATCACTCTGATCCAAAAATTGTTGGACTGGCTTTGCCATGCTGGTTTTATTTTTAATTTATATTTTTTTGTGCATGTGGAAAAACTGTGCAGAATATTTTATTTCCAACACCTGCTTCCTGCACTTTGCACAGACATATCATAAATTAGATTATAAATAAGCCAGATAGTTCTCGCGCAGAACCATTCTTTCTTTCGATGAATACGTTTTCAAAGATGTTGTCAAAGTACCCACTAAATTAAATTTATTTTTGTGTTCGTCGTAAACGCTAATTCTTCCCACTTTAAATTTTTCAGGCGTTGACCTTGTGCGCAGTGCTTTTATTCTGTTATGGCCTTCTGAGTTCCTTGGCGCCAAACTTCCTATGGATCTTGTTTCTTCGCGGACTTGTCGGATTTGCCATCGGCTGCGTACCTCAGTCGTAAGTGAGACCCCTTAGAAATTATAATGTAGATTATGTCCTCGCTAACATAAATATAGTTTTGTCTATTTGAGTCTTGTGTGCCCATAAATATAGTTTTGTCTATTTGAGTCCGTGTGCTGGGATTTGTTTTAGTATTCCTTTTTAAAATTTTATATTTGATTGTGATAATTTGAGTCACCTCTTTAAGTGGTGTCAGGTCATAATTTGATATTTAAGGCTGTTACAAGTGCGACCGACTATTGCAACGATTCCAGTCATCCATTTATAATCAATAATTGAAACATTGTCATTGCATAACCTAGGAATCACTCTGGTTACCAGTGTAGTGGATCATTTCGTTATGTTTCAGTGTGACGCTGTATGCCGAGTTCCTACCAACGAAACAGAGGGCGAAATGTGTTGTACTATTGGATGTGAGTGCTGTCAGATGCTAAAATAGAACTTTACATTCTCTGCCTTGTTATTCTTTCAGGTTCATGGCTTCTGGGAAAGGACTATTTAACAATATTAACTATAGAAGGTGATTAACATACTGATGGAACCTAAAAATTATGCTTTGTAAATAGCTGACCTTGCCGTAACACCCAGAGTTAGTTTTAAGATGTCCTGTGCATATGCCATTTTATTTTTCAGTTTATCTGCGTGAATTAAGTTCATGCAGGGTAGTTGGAATTCCTTGGAAAGGAGACCTACAGACTGCACTGTGTCCTTCGTATGTCAGAATTATGGTTGTCGTGACCAGTCGGTTGATTTGCATAGTAAATTTTGTTTTAACAGTTGATGATTTTATTTAATTGATTTATTAATTTGTCAAGACACTCAGAAGGACATAAACAATTTTTAATCTCTGAATGTAAAATGTATTTTCAAATAAGAGTATTTTTTTTATATGAATTTGTTGTGTATATAGAATGCTTTACAATTTGTATAATTTATTTCATCCCTAATTTTGTACCCTTGGTGCTTCTATTAGCTGCAAATAAATTTTTCCATCGATCTCAGTCTGTACTGCACACATGGAAAGTTTTCTGAACAGATTATTTCTACTGTCAGATTTTAAATTAAACATTTATTGTTCATTTAATAGTACATAAGATGTGATCATTTAATTTGTGGGTTAATAATTTAATTTGTTAATTACTCGATTGACGGCAAATATTAATTGATTAAAATATTAGCCAGTCGATACGTAGCCTTGGTTACGAGGTCAGTGAATGGGATAAGTTCGTACTAACCGTCTATAAAGTGAAGTGGTTACTATATGTCCCAGCTACTTTTAACAATCTGTAAATCTTTCATTTTAGCCAGTTGTTCTTTGTAATGGTGAAATGTTGTGTTTTGTTTGCAGTATGGACTGAATTCTTAAATATTATTTAGACGAGATTCAGCTTCAAAGATTTAGCTGGTATACTGCTAATCTTAGATGTTCCTGCTTGTTAGTTATTTAGAGCTTAGTAAGTAAGTAATTAATACTTCTCTGTCTTTCGTAGCTGCTTCTACACAGTTTCATCATAACACTGCAAGCTTCTGGACTTGGTTATGGTTTCTTAAACCACAACTTCCTATATTCTGAAATTTTGTAAAGAAATTATGTATTTCCTTGATTTTAAGATGTCATCTATTGTTTAGTCACACTTTTGATAGTTTTTCAGTAAAAAAAGATGCTTTATCAATTCTTAGATGACATCAAATGTAAGATGTACCCTAATTTCATAAATTTTAAAATGTGAAGAAAAGTGTGTCTTAAAATCAAGGAAATATGGTATTTTTAAATGTGATGCAATTTGTAATGATGTTACTCCAGAATACATTAAATATAGTATTGGCTTCATTTTAAAATTATGTATTTTAATAATTACGTTGTAAAATTCATAGTTGCTCTGAATGTTATGATACTCATTTTTTCTCTCAGATTCCTGAAGATGGTGGTTTCGTTATATTTAAGATTGCTTTATAATTAGGCCAATGTGGTACATAAAACATAATTAAATCCTATATATTAAATTATGTTCAGAAAACATCAAAAAGTAATTATATTGCTCGTTCATGGGAAATGACAAAACTGTCATTTAATGAAAGCTTGCGGAGTTGTTCTGACATTAAGTGAAGTCGTGTAACTGTTCTGCAGTGCTGCTTGAATGGGTTCTTTGCAATTGTGTATGAAAATAGATAACGCTGGCACTGTGCGATGAAAGACGTCTTAGTTTCTTGGCAGTGAAAACTTAATGTAAATATCTTATTTTGAAGCATCTTATTTCAAACCTCTTTATCTGATACCTACCCATTTTTTCAGACGCTGATGTGTAACATTTTAGGCAGTCTATTTATACTTGTAAATTTAGAATTTATGAAATGTGTTCTATTTTCTTACGCCATCTGTCGTTTAATTGTCTGATATTGTACAGTACGTCTTCCTCAGACATTTTGTCGTACCTGCTTGTCTTTTAATGGTGACACACATTTTGGACATTAATCCCTCTGAGTGAAGATATGTTTCATTTCAGAATAATTTCTCCATCTACAAGAGGTTCTATTTCTTCACCTAAATTGCTTAATTTCTGACTCTGATGTGAAGAGAGTTTCTTAGTACTTATTTTATAGGTTATAATTTTAATGTTTTAGCGTAAATGATTACAAATGACAGGTAGTCAGTAGCGGTTGATGTGTTTCAGTGTTTCTGGGCACTGGGGGCATGTTTTGAGGTGTTGCTAGCCCTGATCGTGATGCCTACGCTCGGCTGGCACTGGCTGCTTGCTCTTTCAACCATCCCACTTCTCGCCTTTGCTCTCATCACGCCAGTGAGTTCTTTTGCCTTAAGATGTGCTCTTAGAATTTACATTAATTCATAAATTTAGAATTTTGTGTACTACTGAATTCTTGTATTCATTTTTATGCAACAGATGTAAAAAAAAAAGTCTCATATTTTTGCAATATTTCATTACTTCTTATTGAATGGTGCTGGTGTTGCTGCCAGTTTAGAAGCTATCTCTCAGTCAGCGTGCTTTACCGTAAAAATGGAGAGCGTAAGGGTCTCCAAAATGTCAGCATCGTGGCCTACGCCCATGCAGCGCCACCTTTCAGAAATATGGCCCACATGAAAGTCTGATATCTCGTATAAGAGAGTTTTTGGAATTAGGAGGTGGTCATATCGACTGTCTGAAGATTACAATCATGACGCTTACCAGATAAGGCTGAGAAAAGGCTTTTTTTTTAAAAATTCCTTAGTTCCACCAGTAACTGAACCAGTTACCTTCTGAATACAAGTCTCTCACACCTACTGCACATTGTATGTGTTTGTGATACAAGGTTTTTTGTTAAAGAATTTAATGTATGAAAGTGAAGAGTCTTTACGCGCCTGCAAATTAACGTGTCATAGAGCGGTCTTGTAAGACGCAGGTTTTGATATGTTCCCGTAATTACAGTGGTTACCAGAGAGTGCTAGATTTCACGTGGCATCAGGACAACCTGAAGAAGCTCTGGCAACTTTACAGAAAGTGGCAAAGGAGAATGGAAAACCTATGCTTCTAGGCCGCCTGGTGGTGGATGATGCAGCCACTCTTACTCCAAGGGGACGTGTTACACATTTGCTTCGTTCTGAGCTTCGGAAAACTTCTCTTCTACTTTGGTTCATTTGGTGAGAGTTTGTTATGTACTTCATACATCTGTAAGTCCTTCATATTACACTAATCCATTTACATGGATTTACAACTAATGAGGAGGTGACAGTAACGTAGGCTACTTTACACTAATTTCAGCACAAAACATCTATGTCCTGGATGAGATTCAAATACAGGACCATGCAACCATGTGTAGGACAAATATTGTCATTTTTATTGGCATTAAATATGTAGGGTTGAACAAAAGTTTTTGTTGCAGGTGCTGAAAGTAACACATCCCCCCCACCACGTAAATAAAACTGGCGCTTCTTCGCATTCTCTATATTTGCAAGAGGAAATTATATGTTTCCGTATTTATTTATTTTTGATTTTAGGTCAGATCTTGTACTTTACTGGTATTAGCTTGTAAATATTATAATTCTTGTCAATATTATTGCTCTCCTTTTTGTAATTATGTGTATTTTTCTCCAAGTTACTTACTTCACTTTTTCATTTTATAACATCTGATTACTGTGATAAAATAACGCTGCACGTATATCAGTTGTGTCGTCAGTTCCGCTTTGCCTTTTACAGGATTGTGTGTGCATTCTGTTACTATGGAATAGTTCTGATGACAACAGAATTGTTTGAGACTTCATGTGCAGATCAAAGTAAGGCAGTGACTAATCTGGAATGTGCTGCGGATTGCAAGGAGCTGTCCACACAAGATTATGTTGATCTTCTTTGGACCACAATAGCCGAATTTCCAGGCGAGTAGAGTTTAAATTTTTCAAAGATTGTTCTCGACAAAGTTACCCTTACAGCAGTCCGTTACTTGTTTCCCATAACTACTTGTATAAGCATGAAAACATCGGTTTGCCGTAATTTTCAGGAATATTTGCAACGGTGTTTGTAATTGAGAGGTGTGGAAGGAAGAACACAATGGCAGTACAGTTCGTAATTTTCGCAGTTTGTATCTGTTTCCTCTTCATCTGTACTGAGAAGTAAGTACCACTCTAGTGATGTTACTTCTTATGCTTCTATTCAGTCTTTTAATATTCACAGTTACTGACATTCAACACCATAATTATGTCATTTTATTTTCAGCATGTTGATGATCACTTCTAAAATCACTAATAGGACGATATTCAATTGTATTATATTATTTAATAAATTCAATTCAATTCAATTAAGCAGAGATAACTAATGATTTGAATTTTTATTTTTTACTTTGTTAGACTTTTCAATAAAAATGTGTTAAAGGACCACATTAGATTTTCATGTCATTGTTCGCAAATAATTTATTAGTATCAGTATAACCAGAAAGGCGCGTGGCAGGAAAACACGAGATGTGGTGTTCATTGCACACATCAGAAACTGTAATATTATTATTCTCAAGTGTGAAATATGTGTGCAATGAACACATCACCTTATGTTCAATTTATATAAAATGCCTATTGTATTAATAGAAATTTAATTTGCCTCGTTCCAGTCGCGTGTTTCTTACCATCATGCTCTTCCTATCACGTGGAATCATAGCTGGAGTTTTTCAAGCTGCGTATGTCTACACACCAGAGGTGAGCTCGGCGCTGTACAGATTTAGCCTACTACATATGGAGTAATCAGTTTATATTAATGGAAACATTCAGAATCGTACATTTATTGATACGTTCCAATCAGTTTTTCATATGTGTTCCTCTACAAAGTCAGACAGCCATTATGATTAAGTACGTAGGATTTTAGTTTCTCATGGGTTGTAGCGCCATGTAGTCTGGTAGAAGTTTACCAGCGTTTCAGAGGTCCTTACTGCCTTCATCATCAGCAGTGATGGATGTATCATCGCCCTGATTACGCGGTGCTGCGACCCAGAATGCGGCCGTCATGGCCGTTGTGATGACTCATTAGCGACGCAGATGTTAACTGATAGACAAAGAAAAATAATATTTGTTTCTATTATCAAGTTGATTATTTTCCTAGTACATTTTTTAGTGTGTGACTTTCAGGTGTACCCAACGCCATTAAGAGCAGTTGGTGTAGGTACCTGCAGTGCAATGGCTCGGTTGGGCGCCATGGTAACCCCTTATGTGGCTCAGGTAAGCCGCCTGCAGCTAATTACCTGTAACGTGCAAGAGACAAAATGTTGTTACTTATAATGTTCATGGTTTTCCTGATTAAGTATTGATTTGTACGCTGATTAATGATGCTGTTATCAGTTACAGAACTTATTAATTGTTAGATGAAATGTAAGTTGAGGGGGAAGGGATGGATAAAAGGCAGGTACATTCTACTTAAAGTCACCTGGAAGGACTGAGGAAAGACATGAATATCAATCAGGATACGTGGCTTTTAAATATTAAATATTATAGTAAGAAGGTTGGTCTGGAAGTAAATATTCACGTCACAACCGCAGAATGCATAACAAGATCATACGGTATAAAGATAGCTGTCCTTTAAAAATGTGGCAAAAGTTCAAATGGCTGAGAAAAATAATAACATTTCAAGATTACATTTATGGCTACTATTGATTTCATAATGCAAAGATTACAATATACAAAACTGTAATTTTACGTGGTGTTTTCAATGCCCCTCATAGAAACAGAGTTTGAACGAGTTTGAGAATATGGCAAGGAGAATATTTGGATTTAAGAGGTAGGAAATGACAGGGGTAAAGAAAATTGCATGACGGTGAGCTGTGCCAAATATTATTAAGGTCATCGAATCAACGAAGGTTAGGTGGGAAGGGTACCACACATTGGAAATGATTTTTTTTTTCCTGTAGGTTCTCATGCAATCATCTCTCACGTTGGCAACGTCTGTGTATGGGTTGGCAGCTTTGCTGGCAGCCGTGGCATGTTTCTTTCTTCCGATAGAGACGAAAGACCGTGAAATGGTAGAGACGGTGGCGCAGAGGTCATGAAAGCGACTTGTCTCAACTGCAGTGGAATCTCTACACATCGGACAATAATGCTGTAAGACTTTGCATAGTTCGTAATTTATAATGGTACACTAGATCATTTCTGTATTTGACATATGCATTTAACCTCTTCTCGTATGTTTCTTTTATAAATTGTTTTATGAAGTATTTACTCAAACATGGTTATAATATGAAGACATGTATTTTAACCAGGTCTACAAAGGATTTATAGTCCCTACACATTATAAATGTCTCATATGGGATTATGACTATCTCGTGTGCTGCTGCTATCAGAGTAGATCTAGTTCATGGGTACTTTTGGCTCCAGCCATGTTGACTGTAATGTCTTCTGGGGATTTCTGCATCTGGGTGATGTTGGGTCATGGTTATTTGATTTTATTATGGGATTACGGGATCCCAGTGTTAAACCCCTGAGAAATTATGCCTTGCTGTAGCTTCACAGTGATATGATTCTATTATACCTCTCTCAAAGGTTGTCCTTCATTCCATCACCATTCTGTACCATATGTCGGCAGATTCTCTGGTTAGGCTTCACCTATTACTAAGCTTTCGGCCTTTACTCTATTGGTGCCAAGTCTCATTGACGTCTCGTTAAACTGACTGATTTGGAGGGTGATCTAGTTGAACAATCTCCGTACACTGCCACTACTGAGGTTTGAACTCGCGGACAGTTTCTCGAAAGCTGCTAGACTGGTCACAGTGTTAACATTTAACCCTTGGGAATTAAACATAGACCAATGACACTAAATCACATTTGTTTATAATCTTGCATCTTGTGTCTTTTTAATAGTATGGATTAGTGTATACAGACAAATAGTATTTTTTTTATGATAAATACTTGAAAATTACTTAATGCTTGAGAGATTCTTATTAACTATAGAAATATTTTTTTTCATGAAACTTTGCAGCTCAGGTGCTATTATCATTCAACCAAAGGCAGCCAACTTTCTTTTAGATGGATGTATAATTCTTTTATGACTTACTTGCACAATCTGGTAAAGAATTTGGTCCATAGCCTCCTCAATTCTCCTCTTACATTCGTTCCTCTGTTAGGTCCGTCTGTCCGAGGCTTTGATCGAGGTTTCGAAACATCTTCCTTTTTACGGCGCAAGGTTGTTAGCCTTGCGACCAACCCCCAACCTGGAGGACCAGGGCACCTGTCTTGGTCTGACCTCTCCCCCTCGACCAACCCTACCAGTAGCTATGCTACCGCCAGCATAGCTCTTGGGGTCACCGAGGTCCTCAAACCCTATCATCTGGTAATTAATTATGGGATGAAATACCATAATTTTAGTCATAATAAGTATTTTCTATGACCATGTGTAGAAGGTTTTTATATGTTCTGTTTCATAAGAAATGGTTTAGTTAATTTTAATTATACAAACTGCTTTGCTTGATTGATGCCAGATTAATTAAGTATTGCTTTTAATTATAACCAACTAGTAGATTCAGTGTTCTGAAGTAGGTAGTGGTATTAAGCACTGCAGCAGGTATTACTTTGTTTTATGCATTACGTAGAATGCGTAGTATAGGCTGCACATGACAAGTCACCAAAGTAGTAGCTAGTCTGTGGAATCGATGGAGATTTTAGTTTATTGCATGAGCTTATATTTCTCATCTTTAAATACAATATGTGATTTCCAGATTGTTTCTTAAAAGTAGGTTCACATCGCAGGAAAACTCACCTGTTAGTGGGGGATATAATCTGGAAATAGGGATGCATAAGAGGGGGAAACACGTATATTTAAAAGTTACTAAAGGATAATATTTTCCTGCTTCTACTGTGTGAATCATCTGGCTCATATTAGTACGTGTGACATTCATAATATTACACAGTCGAAATTGCTAAAAATAAATTAATAAGCTATTATTTCAGTGATATATGTATGGATGCCAAAATACAAGTTTCATCAAAATCTGGCTCATGTAAGAGACAGAGTAATTTGTTGAAGATGACCGACTTCTTGGACGTTGCACTGTGCAGTCTGGCAGAAATTTACCATGTTTCAGAGGTGTCCTGATGATGAAAGTTAAGCATCTCTGAAGTATCGGTCAGTTCTTGCCAGACTAAACAGAGCAACATCCCAAAAGGTGGCCGTCTTCATATTTATTGCTGGGAGAACTTGAAATCTCACATACTAATTTATTGATGAGGTGTAGAATATTTTGTGTATAATTTCATATTTACATTTTTAAATTAATATTTAATTTATTCTGTATTTGTATTGTAGCTGTTGATGTATCATGTATGTATTGGTGTTAAAAAACACTACATATCTCATAATGCTCGTAATATGTAAAAAGTAATTTATTTTCATTCATTGTACTGAATTTTAAATTTACGGTAGAAATTAAAATTATTTCTTACAAACTTTGCTTTTAGGCCAGGCTTTCTGTGGGTAGCCATAATAAAGTGTGTGTATTCTTGAGTTTTCTTTTAGACAAGTTGGTGCATCAGAGGTCGACACCTGCATTAAAATGTCTTATACATGTTTAAATTACACAATTTAGCCAATTTAACTGTGGATTGCCATACATACATGATCTATGGTGAAGCAGTCTGGCAGAAATAAATTTGTTTTTGAATTGTACGAAGGCGCGGGTTCTTGATACCTACGTTTTAAATTAAAACTATGAAAAATTCAAGTCACTGCAGATAAAATTAGTTTATATTTTTATTATTAAGATAATTTGGTGATTCAACTTTCCTTTCCCTTGAGCCAAGAATAGTTTACCCAATGGCCAAGAAACCCCTCCTGGCAGTATTTTTGAAAACTGATAGGTTAAGTTTCAATCGTCTTCGTAATACTTATCATAAGATGACAAATTACCATAGTGAATGCTGAAATGTAAATTTTATTGAAATATGCACAGAATTATTTATTTCAAATTATTTGCTGCAACAGCTTGTATTTAAAACATTTTTTACCTGGAAAAGATATTTTACGAGAGGGTTTTAAAGTCATTAGCGTGTGTGGCATTTGTGTATAAAGCAACAGATCAGCTGAGAATCATGTTTTTTTTTTAATACTTTGGAGTAAAGAAAATTAATGAGCTAGTAACAAATAATTTCATGGGCCTGATTGTAAGTGGTCCTAGGCCAGATGTGACCTGCTGGCCACCAGTTGGACCACCTTGACATAGAGTTAAAGACTGGCATCTGACTTTGATCTTAAGGTTGGTGCAGATGGTAGTTTATTCCTATCCCATGTATACATGAATAGTGTAGCGATTAGACATTGAAGGTAAATGTACCATTACTTTCGTCTTTATAGAGAAATAAGATAAAGGTGGCTTTAATTTATTTAAAATGCTTTTACATCTTGATGGACATACATGTATTTTAGCAGACAATTCATTCACACAACACCCCACGCTTCCTCAAAGCCAGAACACAGTTTGGTGCACGTGAGAGCCGCAGACAATGGGTAGTTGCTGATTGACACGTTGCTCTCGACATATTCTGGGTTAACCTGCGACATAAAGATGAGGCCATCACATTTAAAGAGCATTTACAACATTCGGGTATCTAGAAAACGTGCATTCTTATCAAACACATCCATTTTAGCAGTGTTTGTTAAATTGAAATTTCATTATCATGAATCATACTTAATTTTAATTATACCTTCACAATGAATCCATTACTAAATTGTCTGTTAAGAGTTAATAAAGTGGAATGCCATTAAAGTAATTCCAGTAAATCTAAATAAAAATCATTCACTAAAAGGATTTAATTAGTGGATCGTGAACAAAATCTTGCAAACTTCAATGTTGTATTTGTGTTAAACTTTTTACGGCTTAGATGACGGCTGTCTTTTCGGTTGTAGCGCCATATACCAACGTTTCAGAGGTCCTTGTTGCTCGGACTACACTGCTACAACCCAGAAGATAGCCATCTTCAGACTCAATGGCGTGAAACCTCAAATCATACTTAATACACCTTAACCATTCCAGTCTAAAAATTAGAAGTTCCTTCCAGATGTCGACAGATACCTTGCCATGTGCTACTGCACCTACAACAACAGTGACTGGTTCGTCACTAGGTACTAAATCTCTAGGATTGACGACATTAGGTGCTGAAAATGAGGTGCCCAGTTTGCGACAACCCACTGGAAGATGGTCTGTGACTGGGTTGCGAATTACTTTAAGGAGCTTTGTTGGTCCATCTGTTGCTCTGACACTGAATTTATGAAGTAACTGCACTGTAAATAGAACAAGACATATCTAGTGTTCACTTCCAAAAAAAATTAAGAGAGACGTAGTGTTCACTCGTACGATAATGTTTCAGAACAGATCTCCATGTGCTTAACTTAGGTCAAAGTCAGAATGCCTGCACTATCTTACTAATTAAGGAAATATCTTTTAAAGAATCAATAATTGATTCTGTACAATCTTTAGACTGCTAAAATGAAGAAAGACTGCAATTGTCATCCTCTAGTTTATGTAGCCTTGTAGGTTAAAAAAGACTGCCTTCATAAAATTTCTCTTTAACATTAATGTGCCCAAAATCATATCTGAAACCGAAACTTACCAATAAGTCCAGCAAATCTCTTAAATGTACGTGGTATTCTTGTTTGTGGATTAATTTCTATTAACACATTCTTTTCTGTGTGTATATAAACCTGAAAAAGATACCCAATGAACTGTAAACATTCAACTTACAACTCTAACATATTCCATGATGCAGTATGTTATTAACCATTGCTTTTAACTAAATGTTTGCGTTTCTACGAACTTCATTGCCACTGGTGTACAATAACAACAACAACCCTGGCATACTTCAAATTGTATGCTTTGTTTCTGTGCTAACAGTTGTTTCAATTGTACTCATTCAGGAGAATACCTCAACACGGACATTTTCCATCGTGAAGTTGTCAAGATAACAATTAAAATGAGCAAGACGGAAAACAAGTTACTATGAAGTTCTTTTATGCATCACCAGTTACCTGAAGAAGGCCTGCTCTATTGAGGGGACTGTCAAGTAACATAAGAAGACACTGATGAACAATATCCGGTCTACATGAACCGATGTCACGATTGTATTTCTTCAGTATGCTCACGTGATCGTCACAATTTAATAACTGAAATGAATTTCCCACCTGAAATTAAAGGTAAGATTTACAATTGACAATTTTATACGTGTTTATTCAGTTTCAGTTACAACTACCTAACCTCAAAAATATTTCTCACTTTAACACTTTCCAGTTGTGCATTTTCGAGAATAATTATCAGACGCTTCTCTTGATTTCGTAAATGCGCTACAACCAAATGTTTAGGAATTGGATCAAATTCGAATTCGTCTTCTTTACATCCTAATTTCCTCTTTTTACCCATATTTTAATTTAATTAAACAACACACACATCGACAACCCAACGTAAAAAGTTAGCAACGCATGTGATGAGTCTCGGTGTTTGTATATTGTGCTGCCATCTTTCCATAGCTAAGGAAACTACTGTAAAACGCAACCTGGCGGTGGAGCAGCAGTTGTGATGGATCGTATGCACCACTTGTGTTTCCAGGCATGTGCTGTTTCAGATAAATAGTCCCTTCGGAACCACTCACCTACTGCCAGATCATGAGATCGAAAATAATACTCCTTAAATTTAATTTTTTTCTAAAAATGGAATTATCTGGTAGAGAGGTAGGTTCAGGGCTGTCTTCATCATTGAGGTATAAAAACTGCTAAATCTCTTTTAACTATTGTATTGTAATGACCTTTGTTACAGGTGTGTCCATAAAAATAATATTCTAACGTTAATGCATCCAAAATTCCCCTAGAAATAAGTACAATGTATGTTCCAGT